TCAGCTGCTTCAGCTGCAGAAGATGAAAAGGAAAAATAGAGCTGTGTGTCACGAGCATATTTATGACAGTCTGCTTCAAAATTCTGCATAAAACCACTCAGTGCTCCACAAGAACTACCTTCTGGAGCTGGTCATCCAAATAGGAGTGGAATCACCACAGAATAGTCAATGGAATTGACATCAACTGGCAGTTCAAGGAGGATCAACAGGATCACAATCCTCAAATCTCTCTCCCAACACATGGCATTGTATAGGACAATCAGGGCAGTTTCCACACCAAAACCAGACCTGAATCTCAATTGAAATGGATTTAGAGAATCTGTCTTCTCCAAGAGAACCTGGATCTGGTTGTCAGGGACTGGGCAGAAGAGGAGGAGTGGTGGAGACGCCTCTCCATCCTGATCCTTCCAGGAAAGAGGAAGACAGTATAGATTTACAACAGGGGTTTGAGGGAGGTCACAGTGCAGAGGCAGATGAGGAGGAAAGTTGAGAAATCATTGGAGAGCCAGAGCAGCTGGCTGACATGTTGTCATTAGAAAGCATTCCAGACCCACTATCTCCCAGAACCCAGCAGGCCTTAAAAGTAGGAGAGCAAAGAGCTTGGAGACAGAGGGCACTTAGCAGCAGTGATGATGACAACACATGAGGAAGTGGGATTGAAAGGGGTGGAGATTCACCAGGGACATCACCATTATCCAAGAGGCTGGGTTCTATAGCCTCACTCTGTAAAGTTTGAAATAAAAAAGAACTGTAAGAAACTTTTCCTTGTCTTTATGCTTTCCTGGGCAACTAGCTGGGAGCATAACATGATTAGATCAAGTGTGTTCACTTTCACATATACATATGCACATACCCCAGTTATCAAACAGGATCACCTCTTAGACATGTTGCTGTTTCCTCCACTTGGATCAGCATGGTGATTTGTGACTGACAATTTATGAATAACCCTCCATAACTACTAATTTGCTGATGAAAGTGTGCATTAATTTAAAGCACATCTCACACACAATGTCTAAAAAAAGAAAATGCTGGGTATAAAAAACCCACATATCAATCTATGTACTGACTAGATCACTGTAAAGTATATATATTTTTCCCATAATGTGCCAAATTACTTATTATAAAACATATATTTCCAAGAGCATTTGCAAACATTTTTACAATTACCATAATGGTGAACCTGTCCCCAATATATAAATGTTCATGGAACACTGTAATGTGGCTAAGAGCAGGAAAAATCTCTACTTTTCCTTCATCAGCAAAAGTAAATATCATTCTTGTGGCACAGCCAGGTAAATATCATTTCATTTATCAAAGGAGTGGGGGGAAATACACAGTGACCTATTTTCTTTTGCCATTTTCCCCAACAGCTGCATTAAATCAAATGGAACGTATTAAAACAGCTACAAAAAGCAGATAATAGCTTTTTTCTTATTGCCTCTCTCAAGTCTGGTAGTGCTACAGAAGTTACAAAACTCATTTGTATCTACTCATTACTGTGTCACCTCATTCTGTGTCCTTGCAATGTAAGTAGTAATAAACGCTGGGGTTGGCTCCGATCAATTTGACATGAGCCCAGCTGTTGAAGGTTAATATCAACAGATATTGACATTTGGGCACAGCCGTTTTCTTGGCACTGATTTGGGCCATCTTTTGTATTTGTGTGTGCTGCTGTGAAGAACTACAGCATTTTCTTGAGGCAAGAGCAATACTTGCTTGGCCATGGCTCTAGCATAGGAACTAGAACTGATGGGGGAAGGAGATTGGTGTAGAAGATATGGCAAATGCTTCAAGAACTTGCACTAGCATCAACCTTTGCAACCAGGGTGGGGTAACTGTGATTTTCCCAATATTGATGGAATCCAACTCCACTTATTTCTGACCATTTGCCATGCTGAAAGTAGGACTGTAGCCTTATTATATTTACATAAACAACAACAACCATAATGCTGTCCTGTAGGCCCCTTGGACAATGCCAAGCTGTTCTTGGTAGACCGATCTCCATATACTTTAATTCAAGGTAATGATGTTGTTGTACCTTCAAATGCTGTTAAATGTCAGGGTACCAATCAAAACCCTTATGTGGTTTCAAAGGTATAAAATTATATCCTCAGAAAAAATAGCTTAAACAATGCACACTTCTGAGGTACTTTAGAAGAAAGAAAGATAAAGAAAAACCCTCTCTTTTAAGTAGTTAATGTGAAAAGGAGTAGACTTCTTTCAACTTAAGAAAATGCATTTACATAGAAGTTTTGCACATTAAATCCTTTTGTGGTGCATTTCTCTACCTCAGTTACATGAAATATTTGTTCAGTTAGATACTAAAAGTTACCCAAAGAAAATGTCATATTTTAGTTATCATGGCTGAAGATATATGAAGCCTATATGACTTTGGGTAGAATTTTATAGCAAAGCCTAAAATGTTAATATATTTCATATTAAAAAATTTTCAGTAGCAGTGTTCCAGCTTTTCCTGAAGGCAGCTATAAAGTCATTTATTTCATTATTTCAGAATGTCTCATTTTTTTTTTAAAAAAGAGATTTTCATCTAGTGCCATATTGTTTTCAGATATGATTGCTCCCTCCTATCTCCCTATTCTCTGGCCTACCATTCTTCATGAAAAGAGATTAAACATACCACAAGGAAAGCAGCATAGCAATTAAAAGATCATTTGCTGAGTGTGAGATATGATTATCTATTTGTATGTACAGCATAGAGATGTTATGATTGATGGAAGCTGACGGAACCATGTGAGTTACCACCAGTCCATGTAGTCACTTGGAAATGCAGGGAAGCAGTAGGGGGGCTGCACAGGGCATGAAAGATGGACAAATCGTTATTGGTTTGAACTTTTAATGAAGGAAAGGACTAGTGAGAGCCAAAATAGCAAGCATACATCGATTTATAGTTGATTGATCAACATACATGTTGTGCAACACAAACTTATTCCTCATTAAAGAACAGGATACTGAATTGTGCTGTAGATATGGAAGGTTTTGTTCGCAATTCAAGAAACTAGAATGTCCAGAGATTTTGATTCTCTGTGTGTGTGTGTGTGTGCGCGCGCGCACGCGTGTGTACCTACTCATCTACTCACATCTTGACACCACAGCTGTGCTAAACAGGTTGTGCAGATTGTAGATGTGAGGTAGAAATTCAGTTCAGTTCATGTTTAGAGGCAAATCTACCTAATTCACACTTTCTAAAATATGTACAAACCCAAATACAACCAACATTTGGAATTTGCACTTCTCTGTATTGTTCAATGCCATTCTTCAGATAGATAGATAGAGTGTGTGTGTGTGTGTGTGTGTGTGTTTCTGGGGGGATGCAAGGGTACACATACCCCTAAACATTTTGTGAATCTAAGTTTCTGGCCTCATTGAGGGGCAGTATTTCAATATGAGTAGGAAAATGAGAGTACCCATAAACTTTTCTTTTTTTTTAGAAAAAAGCACTGTCTGTCTCTCTCTGTGCGTGTGTGTGCATGTGTGTATGAATTTGCTGATGAATTTTCATGAGGATTTTTTCTTGAAAGGTGTACATTGGTATGTAAATATGGAAAACAGAACTTAAGGTTGAGAAGATGAAAAACTAAAATTGTCAGATTTGTCCATTGCTAGCTGTTTCTTTATCATGTACTTAGAATATACTGCTTAATATAGTGAAAAAAAGTATTCAGCAGTGTGCATATTCCTCCCTGAATAGAAATGCAAATGATCATATTCAATAAAATTTCCAACAAACTATGTAAGAACAGAAGAAAGCTATATTGCAGATAAAACTGAGCCATGCGCAAAAACATGGCTTTGGAAGTACAGTTCTCTTTTGAAACACTGCAGGAAGAAACTGGGAACCTTTAGGTGGCAAAAGGACTCTTGGACCCCGTCAGAGCTTCCTGTCTCTGTCCCTAAACCAGGCAGACGCTTCTGAGCTTTGGGAAGGAGGTGCCAGGCTTTTAATTCATTAATACTCTAATTTACCAGGAACATTTACGGGACTAGCCTAGACCTCCTAGTCCACTGACCACATGCTGCTGCTTCAAATTGTTTTGAAACACTGTGGGAAGAAATTTGGAACCTTTAGGAATGGACCATGCATGCATTTATGAATATAAATTAAATATAGCCCAAACTAGCAGAACAGTCCTCTCTCCTCTCAGGTATTTCCACCATCTTCACAAGCCTGTTTAAATAATTTATTTACTGGAGCAGAGAATACATTGTACCAAGTGGATGATTTAGAGTCTATTCATTTTTATTGCTCATAACAGTAATATGGCTTCAAATATAATCCCATGTTTTTACCACATAATAAAAAGTGATAATATATTAATCATGACTAGATGATTGTTAAGCTTCCACAGCTCTTCTTCTAAATATTCAGTGGTGGTGACATTTTTATTTGTAACAAAGATTTATTGTTAATGGCTTCTTTCTCAACTGAGTATGTTATATCTGGACCCAAATGAACCAGTTTTGGAAGACTGGGTCCTAGTTTCAAAGCAGCAACCGTTTTGGGAGGAGGAATTCTTGTAACCATAAGATATAATAGATTAAAAAGTGCATTCTACAAGCAATGCAAATATTCATTGCGTGCTGAGGTCCCCCAAATCATCCCTACCCCAATAACTCACACATCACACATAATTTTTGTTTAAGGTTTTTGGCATAATTTTTGGCCACAACTTTTATTATCATACAAAATTGTGAGTGGTTGCGTAGGCATTGGTTATGACTAGCTATCCCCCCCGCCTTGGGGGATAGCACTGACTCCCGGATTCCAGCGTAAGTCAGTGTGGAGGAACAAGCAGGGCAACTGGGGCTGCGTTACAGACCCTTCAGTTCCTCCCTGCATGCGCCTTGGGGTCTTACACGGCCCGCACCCGATTCCAGGGGTTTGGACAAGGGAATGGTAAGCCCCAGAATTCCTTTAACGGAATTCCCATTCCGCAGCAGCATTGGAGGGGTAGGCACAGCCAATCCATACCCTCCACCAACCAATTTAACCAATGCCTAACCGCCACCCGAGCCCTTATGCTCGCCGCCAACCACTCACAAAGCAAACCACACCCTCAACTTGGACACCACTGCATCCAACCATACATCATTCCCAAACGTGGAAAGATGAACCCCATAAGCCCTGTATAAGACCTCCTCCTTAAAGGAAATACGAGGGTGAGGAATCACCAATCCGCCCAAGCTCACCACCAACTTGCCCACCGCGGAATTAATCCGCTTCCTAACTTTCTCAGTGGATGCTGGGCAAGGACTGCCCCGCCAAATGCGGCGCTGAAGCAACTATGACCAAATCAATTTTGCATTAGGCACCATAGCCGCCAGCTCCCTTAGGTCCTGTAAAATAACAGTACGCAGCGTATAGCAAGGAAAAGAAACCATATCATTTTCGCCAAGCTGCACCACAATCGCTGAAGGTGGGCCAAGCAGGAGGACGCGCCTTTTCATGAGTGGCAAGAATTCACTCCACCGCATCCCCCTTCTGGAGATCCAGGACACCTGCACGTGCTGTGGAAGGCCCAGGCCATCTCCCAATCCCGACTGACGAGCTCTGTCAGCGGCCCAATGCACAATACTGTGGCCCACTATCCAGATACGGATAGTGCCCGGACCTAGGGTTAAAACAGAAATGTAAGTACACAACCACATTATTTCCGCACATACGTTTTGAAAGCATCCGATCTCCACCGACCCAAGTCCTTTATCCTCTTCACGGATAAACCCCAATGGGCAGACCGACCCAAGTCTTTTATCCGCTTCACAGATAAACCCCAATGGGCAGCTGTCGTTGCAGCACCAATCCGGAAGGAATGAGGAGCAAATTCCGCTGCCTCAAAGCCACATGCCGCAACAGCTTTACGCAACACCTTAGTGAATTGATGCTGCACCAAGGGGTGCCCATTTTCGTGAATAAACAGGGCCCCTTCGCTCGAAGGTCGCAAAGCCAGGTACCTCCTAAGATCCCTTACCGGACAAGGGCCAGCTTCCCCAGTTGCCGGGCAGTAGGCAAGCTGCAGGCTGCAATAACTGGCGCACGACGTGAGCAATTAGATGCCTGTCGAACTGGAACCCATTTCTGTGCACTAAGATCGAGCCAGCCCCCAGGGGAATGAAAAGCCAAATATTTCCAGTATCCAATAACAGGGCAAGGGCCCACCTCACCTGTGAATGGAAGCCTGATGGTGGCAACCCTGCTCACTAGGTCTGACTTAGAGCTCCAGACACTTATGACAAGCTCCAAAGCAGATAAGGAAAAGTCCTGAGGCAATAAGCCTCCAAACTCTCAGCCCGGTGCTGGCTCCAACACAATTTCCCCAACCCTCAGTACACCAAAATTACAATGGAATACTGAAAGAAGTCTCATCTTGATCTTGAACCAGCCGACAAGTCTTAACTTGTTGTGGATACTGCATAGGTCAAAGATTGACCGGCTTCCTGCCTGCTGTCCTGTGAAGGTTGGAGCCTATTCCAACCTTCCGAGACCCTGCACGAAACACTTTTAGAAGGGTCTCTGAAAATTTAAAGCTTTACTCTAGCAGACATTGCAGCGGACTGAATTCTGATAGTTTTAACAGTGCATCCGATCTGCAGCAGGTGGGCGAATTACTGCAGGTCCTGCTCGGAAGAAGGGGGCAGGTTCCTCTGAATGGCCGAGGACTGCTAGCTAAATTTGAAGAAATCAGTCCAGGCCTTCTCATAAAACCTGAAAGCGGATGGGGAAACGTAAGCTACTACACCTCATAATTATTAATTGTTGCCAAGTGCCACAGGAGCTCCGGAAAAATCCGGCTATAGCTGGGCATCCAGAGCCCAGGATCTGAAGCTCTCCAACTGAAAAAACGGGATAGAGCGACAGCGAAAACATTAGATGATCCCGAAATAAAGAGAGCAGAAACGCAATATTAAACCTTAAGCAGTGCGAAGACTCTGCCAGAGCACGAGGACCATTTTGCCAGGACTCTCACACTGCTTGGTTATCAGACCAAGACAGACCTGACGGTCCCTAAACTCCTCAGTCCAGATGTGCGCTGACACTACAATGGAGAAAACTCAAGAAAAGTTAGGTCACATGTGATTGCCTTGCCCTGCCAAGCTCAAGGCCACTGTACATGATGATGAAGGGACCCCGGGCTATGAAACCACCTGGCCAAGCAGGAATGGAAGGGGCAGCCTGGAGCAACCACCCTGCATGCAAAATTTAACTGACCTAGGAATGATAGGATCTGACAAAGCAACACTTGCTTCAGAGGAAGTATTACAAGAATAACGTCCTTCAAGGCAAACAGCTTTTCCACAGGCAAGCAGATGTTTGAGCAATGGTATCCAGCTAGCCCCCAAATACGTTAAAAGGGGCAGTAGGACCCACTGTCCTCCACTGCCAACAGAACACCCAGCTCCTCAGGGAATAAAGGGGTGTCCAGTTAGCCTAAGCAGTGGCTGGTGTCACATGAACCAGCCAGTAAAATAATCCACATAACAATACCCCCAGTTAAACGAGTCTTGACTTGCAATGTTCAATCCAGAAAGGCGCTAAAGGACTCAGTGCTGCACAGCCTATTGAGCAACCCACTGGCATCACCTTATCAATATAAGGACCATCCAATTAAAGCCTACTTAAAATATTGAGGGTGAACCGGCAGCAGCCTAACAGCCGATTCAATATTGCATAATGCCAACAAGGTACCTCCTCCAATTTGTTGGTAAGCTCAACTGCCTGATCCAAAGATGCATATTTCACGGAACAATTCCGGAGGGATAGCATCATTCACTGAGGTGCCTTTGGGGTGCGATAAATATGGATCCGATGGAATTATATGGGGCTTCCTAGGGACAATCCCCAATGGGGATAAATGAAAATCGGGACTAGAAGGAGAATAAAGGGGATCCCACCATATGTCCCAATGCAAGCTGCTTCCTAACCTTCTTTCAGGCTACCACCGGTAGCTCTCTAACTGGCTTTTGAGTTGCTGTATTCCGAGCCACTGGCTGAAAAGCCAGAGGAATCCCAAACATTGGGAAAAACCCTTCCCACAAGCACAAAGCCACTGACCCATCTAGATAACCTTTTAGCCAGGCTTTCAAGGAGATATTTTTATGGAAATATGGGCAAGAGGTATTGAGTTATTGCTTGCCGGCTCCCGCTTGGGCAAGATGCCCTGCCTTGTGTTGCCACCATGATGTGTAAATTTACAGGGCCAACGCTGGCCAGAAACCCTAAAGAAGTCCCAACAAAGCTGCCACCGGGCCAGCTTCCTGCATACCAGCTTCGGTTCTATTGCTCAGGGAATTTCCATTTGAAATGTGGAGCTGCGCAAGTGGTCCACATGTCCCCGTCCCTGGGATCCTAGCAAGCTGAGGGGATGATGGCAGCCCTGCATCTAACATTCCCCTCATAGTGAATTACCACTTATAGAATAGTGGGGTTGGAAGGGACTCCAAGGATCATCTAGTCCACTCTCCCACTATATCATAATAATCATCATCATCATAGTGAATTACCACTTATAGAATAGTGGGGTTGGAAGGGACTCCAAGGATCATCTAGTCCACTCTCCCACTATATAATCATCATCATCATCATCATCATCATCATCTATTTGTACCCCGCCCATTTGGCTGGGCTTCCCCAGCCACTCTGGGCAGCGTCCAATAAATAAATAAATATTAAAATACAGTAGTGCATCAAACATTAAAAGCTTCCCTAAACAGGGCTGCCTTAGATGTCTTCTAAAAGTCTGGTAGTAGACATCTGGTGGGAGTGTGTACCACAGGGCGGGTGCCACTTCTGAGAGGGCCCTCCACCTGGTTCCCTGTAACTTGGCTTCTCACATTGAGGGAACCACCAGAAAGGCCCTCGGCGCTGGACCTCAGTGTCCAGGTAGAGTGATGAGGGAGCATGCAGCTGTCCCATACAGGGACCAATCCTGCAACCTAGGCATTACCGGCACCATATGCTGACCAGCTGAGCTATCCAGGATGATCCCTAAAGACCCGGAACAGCCTCACCCTGACCCCTGAAGAGGTCCAAGGTGATGTCTGCATCATCATCAGAGCCCAGGGATGATTTACCTGCAAGGAGGTGTAAGCATCATCCCTGCTCCGCTTTTTTCTGCCTCTGAAGACGCTTCCTTCTGGAAGAAGGCACTTGGGGCATCAGCAAGTCATCCTCTGCAGGAGAGGCAAGCTCTGGAGGTATCTGCAAAGGCCCTGTCATAGTCTGCAAAAGAAAAAACCTAAACAATGTGAGGAACAGGTGAAACCAATGCTTTGTGCACCACATGGGGACGCTATTCAGGCCAGAAACGCTGCCAGAGGCCATCAAATTATAGGGCCAAGTGGGCCAAGACCTAGGATCACCTGCTAGGCCAGACAAAAATGTTTCCAATGAGATAACAAACTTGAGGCAGCCCGCCGCCTGTCCAGGTACCCCTGCTTGCCCTTTAGAGGGAAGCACTTCCTCAAGAAACCCAAAGTTCTTTTTGGGAGCAATATCACAAATGGGCCAAACTACCCAGCAACAAAATAGTCCAAAAGGAGCAGCTTGTTTTGCTTTGTTATAACAATGGCTAAGTGGGGGGTATGAACCCTGTCTCCCAGGTCCTAGTCCTGCGCTCTAGCCACTAAGCCACAATGGCTCATCTCTAAAATGGCAATTGCCACTATCAGGGAAAAACAAACTTGAAGAAAATAAACTTGTTCTGAAACAGCATAGTTAAAGAGCATACACAGAGTGCTCATTGGAGGCACAGAGAGCCTCTGGCTCCACTCTGTCTGCCTAAGATATACATTAGCAACAAGTGAGCCTGCAAACAAACAGATAAATTCTTATAGAGAGACTGAGTCACATGTCACAGTGACTTAACAATTACTGTACTGCTAACTGTAGCAGGCTAAGGCTTGAAATATATGTGCAGGCCGAGCAGGCCGTGAAGGCCTCCCTTTTTCTGCTCTCTGCCTTTTTTGTCTCATTGCAATATTAAAGGAACTCAATATAGTGCTCCCGCCCAAGGCTAAATTAAAATTCAGCCAACAGCACTGCATGCACCCAAAATAAAGCCAACCTATGAGGATACTATAAACGAAAGTGATTACAGGTAAGCTGGGAATTTACTGTACTGCTAACTGTAGCAGGCTTAGGCTTGAATGATATGTGCAGGCCGAGCAGGCCGTGAAGGCCTCCCTGCTCTGCTCTCTGCCTTTTATAGTCTCATTGCAATATTAAAGGAACTCAATATAGTGCTCCCGCCCAAGGCTAGATTAAAACTCGGCCAACAGCACTGCATGGACGAAAATGGGGAAAACCTTTTTGCAAAAGAAAGCCCCTAATGGGGGCTCTCTCCCTATTGGGAAAGGCAAGCCCAGGAGGATTATGCACAGGCAGCACTCACAGGTACAGGGAGCATCTTCCCAAAGGGCAGGGTAAGGAGTGGGGTGGGAAATCAAACAGAAAAAAGGGGGGGAATTAAATTAATTAAGGGACTAGAGAAGACTGAAAAGAAGGGGAAAATAAAGAAATGTAACCAGACAATGAGAAGATCGCTCCACTGTCCTCCAGACAGTCCAAGTGCTCCAGGTGATCTGGTGTCCACAGCGAAAGAGAAAGGAACAAGCTGTGGACCCAGTATAAATAACCTCTGACTCCACCCCTTAATTGGCAACATCAAATTTACCCCAGTAACAACCATCACCAATCCATTCAAATTCCCTTGCAACAGCCTGGCTGGCAACTGAGGATGTTTTGTCTGGCCCCATCCGCAACACGTGCTCTCTCTTTAATGAGAACACGCTTTACCTCTGAGGGGAAAATTATGGAAGGGCAGCATTCGGACCTTCTGTCAGCACAGGGCAATATGTTAAAGGAAAGTAGAGGCAGAGTAGCAGATAGCAAAGGTAGAGTCTGGATGTAAAGAATCTAGAACAACTTCAAGGTTGCAGAAATCACTATGGGAATAAGTAGATCAAAATCGAGCTCTTGTATGATTGTGGAAGCATAGTGATAGACAAAATGAATAAGTCACTGTGCTAACTTTAAAAATATGTGTCCAAGGTAACATATTTCATAACAACTAATTTTGTAATATAAAATAATAGTTTGGGTTTTTTCTAACTTCACATGTTTTAAATTGCTAGATTAATGGTGGCTGCTCATTTCTATGTAAATCAGGTCTCTAGATCTTTCTATGCAACCCTTGGCATAATTAAAAAAATATGTGGCTGTAAGCAATTCATGTATCCTAAAGACTAAACACTTAAGATTTTGTCCTATCAGCAGTCTCTCTGTTCATAAGTGTCTCAAGCTGAGGAAGGTAAAACAAAGATACCTGCTGATCTATATTCAAGGGTGTCCTTATTAACTGCTTCAATATTTTGATTTAGAAAGATTAGCCCATATAAATAATGCATCAAAGATAGTTGAGTTACTTTTGCATATGAGACACTTCCTTGTTTACAGTTTTTTAAAATGTAAAGTATAGTAACTATGCTGAGGTGAGTCACTGAGTGACAATTTAGTATTACTGATGCTGCCACCTAAGCATACTTCCTCCCCACTGAGCTTCTGAAGAAAAACCACAGAATTAAGATGTGTGAAAGTGGAGAGAAAGCCAAATTCAGAACTCCAAAGAGTTGGATTTTTGCTCTGTAGTGAAGTTTTAGTTCAAAGTTCATAAATTTAAGTCTTGGGACAACTTTCAGGTGAAGGGCTGATTGTAAATATTTGTAATAAATACATAAATAAGCAATTAATCACTTTTAAGAAACCCAGAGACATTTCTAACACTTCTAGGCAAACAGCTATATTATTGTGAAAATCTAGTAGCCACATTCTTTTTTAAAAAAAATCCTCTACTATCTGTATACGATAACAGTATGTGACAATATCACATGTCTTATACATTAGTTCAATTTGTAGACATGCCTCTGACTAATCTTGACAAAACCTCAACTCTTGTTAAACACAGTAGCCATGCTCCGGAATTCTAATTCCAATTTCCTCACAACAACAACAAATCATCATATAATGTGCCACAGATTCACATGACACTCTGGCTCATGGTCTACAAATTATTTTCTATGTGGGCTGACATTTTTCATTAGCCAAGATCCCTGTGCGCCATAGGTGACATTCCCGGCAGAGTGTTCTGTCAGAGCTACAAACCATGAATCAACACCCTACTCCTGAAAAGTCTGACCCCCTCAGTGTGCAAAACTAGATTTCCATACTAGATATCCTTGTGGGATAGTGCTGTGAATTTCAGATTGATCCTTTGCATCCGATGCCTGGGGCTTAGTTTTGTTTAATGCAAAATGCATCACTTGGTGGAAGGGTCAGAGGAAGCATGAACAGGAATTTGAGCCTTTCCTTCCTGCTGCTGTTCTAGGGGAAACCTCTATTTTGAACCTGGAATTTGGGTTTTTGTGTGGGGTGCAGTCCTTATTTTCTAGAAAAATAGGTGCCTTTACTCACCATGAAGTTGTTAACACTAAGTGTCACACTTTTTAACAAAACAAATCAAAAAGGTGCCGGTACTGCGTACTGTTGAGCTCCCCCTGGAAAAAAAGCTGGAGGGGAGAATCCATACTGGCACCAATGGGCAATTTCTTCCGAATGTAAAAGCATATTCAGAGGCGGGCTCCAATTAATTATCGGTCCTATTCCTGCATTTGCATGTTGAAAAAGCGGGATGTTAGACGCAAAGAAAAATATCACCACTAGTTTGGCCCAAAGTATCTATGTTCAGTCGCCAAATTGGTATGTTTGTCCCCCTCCCCCCATCTATCTTTTAAAATGCCGTTTCATGCAATATGTATATACAGGTTGCATTTATTGTGGCAGACTTAAATCCTGATTGCCTCTATTAAAGTAAATTAACTGCAGACATGTCCAATTTTGAGAAGCAGAAACCAAAACAGCTACACCTAAGCCCCCCCCCGCACCTTTCCTTTTCTTTCTGCTGTTATAGTTAAGAGCACCTGGATGTTCAAAATTCATACAATGTGAAATGCAGTAGCAAGACACAAAAACACAGTCACATATTATCAAACCCCAAATCTTTCTGTCCAGAGATATGGAGAGTCCTTTGGAGCTTAACTAATGTGACACACCAATTTTATGTGTGATTTCTCATCTATTACTTGGTTTATGTTTAAGATTACAAGATAACCAGGACAATTCAGATACTATTCCCAAAAGGATGAGACACAGTGCTACAAAGCACATTCATCTGTGCTGCAAAGATTGCAGCAGATGTGGTGTGTTAAACAAAAATCCCTGCTTTTTTAACGGCATGCTCTTCCATAGAAAATTCACTGTTAAAGGATGCATGATGGGGTCAGTAGCATTTCACTAAAAAAAACCCAGCTTCAGAATAAAAAGACATTATTATTATTTAAAAATTAATTGTAGGTTTTCTAACAGCCATGTCTAAAGAAATAAGCCTCTTTGGAAAGTATCTTTAGTAAACCATTATTTTCCTTTATGAACATGTTTTTTCTGATAAAACTTTAAAAATGATGTTATAAAGCAGGCAACGAGCAGGAGTGTTCCTTATAAAATTTAACTCCTCCAGAGCTGCACCAAATCAGAACTTTTCTACTCCTGCAAACAGCAGCTTTGAAGGGTTTTGTTTTTAATGGTCTTGATTACAAAAGAATAGAAAAGGAATAAACTACTATGCCTCACATATTGATGTTCTGATAATCAGATACCCTCCTCAGAAATTGCTATTTGCATTTAAAAACACACACACATGTGCATCTTAAAGGCAAGGATGCACTGAACATGTGTAAAGGCAAAGGTAAAGGGACCCCTGACCATTAGGTCCAGTCGTGACCGACTCTGGGGTTGCAGTGCTCATCTGGCTTTATTGGCCGAGGGAGCCAGTGTACAGCTTCCGGGTCATGTGGCCAGCATGACTAAGCTGCTTCTGGCAAACCAGAATAGCGCATGGAAATGCCGTTTACCTTCCCGCCAGAGCAGTACCTATTTATCTACTTGCACTGCATGCTTTCGAACTGGAGCTGGGACCGAGCAATGGGAGCTCACACTGTCGTGGGGATTCGAACCGCCAACCTTCTGATCGGCAAGCCCTAGGCTCTGTGGTTTAATTCACAGAGCCACTCGCATCCACTGAACATGTGTCTTTGATCCTAAATGTAATTATACATATCATTGTATCAAGCATTCTCAATACTGCACTTGGGAGCTTCAGAATGTTTTGTTGTTGTTTTTTTAAGTTAACAATTAAACCCTTTCAATATGACACCTCTTCCTGACTTTCTCCAGATTGCTTTCAGTGCAGTGAAGTTGATTGTTAAAGGAAAACACACACCCTTGGCCACTGCAAAACTAAACGAAACGAAATGTGATTCATATCTAATGGAAGAGTGAACCAATAGAAGTGTCTATTGAGCAACATTGGTTTAATGGATAGGCAACAATTCTATATTGTGTTTTCACATAAATTCAATATCAATTTCGAACAGCATTCTGACACAAAGCAAGTTTGATTTTCCTTCTACAACGTGATGAATGCATCTTAAGAGACTTAGAAGGGGAGTGAAGA